GTGTTCGCGCACGTGTTTTCGATTTCGTGTCGTTACGAAAATCTCCGGGAAGACAGCAATTTTTTCCAACCGTCAAGCACCAGCCCGTAGTGCCCCAACCCGGACGCAAGATTGGGGATCTACCGCTAATGTCCCGGGAAAAAATCATCTTTAATCGACATTGACAATTACTTGGCGACATAATGGGGCCGTTCAAAATGTCAGCAAACAATCGTCATTGCCGAAAGCCTCCAACTGGCTCCGTTTCGTCGGCAGTCAACAATCAACTTTCGAGGTTACCAAAGACGCTCAAAATATAATTGAGCTTGTAGTCCAAGGGGTTCAATCGAACGACGATCCGAAATCGATTTATTCATATATGACGCGGATGTAGTTTTTCGTCGGTGAGATATTATCACCGGGTCCTAGGTATTTTACAAAACGGTGAGTGTATAATTGACCACATCGTGGTTAAAGTGATAGGTTGAGTTTGTTCAGGTAGCACGTGAGCCATATTATGTCCTGTCAAGAGACCTGTCATAATCCGCACTTTATCCCTGCTAAGTACCTGCTAAGCACTAGCAGATACTTTGTTGTTTTAGAATTAGATTCTTGGATTAAGGCCTTGCTATGCCTGTCAGAGGCACAGTCAGTCAGAGTCTGTTTCTCCAGTGAACATCCTGCTTTTTCCTGATACAGAGTTTTACTGCACTATATAGGTTATACGTTAGGGTGTTTCCAGTACTGGATCTTGGTCTTGTAGACTCCAATCTTGGTGTTGCGCAAGACTAATACAAATCTTGCATTTTTCTAACTAGATTTTTACTAGAAGTACTTTTTACATATAACATCTTTAAAAAATAGTATTTTATTTAATTTAATGGCAAATAAAACGTAATAGAAGAACAATATTTATCCGATTTTATAAAATTTTATGATAAATCGGGAAAAAGCTAATTGTTTTATTTATTTTAATGGTTCAAAACCCAATGAGCGCCTTAAATAATGTATAGTAATGTTTCGACAAATGGTTTTATATGAATATGGTTATTGTTGACGGTTTTCTTAACTCACAATATTAGCTGGAAATAGTTTCTGAGAAACCATTTTTAATATTTTGTTATTTAATAAATTATAAGAGAGAAGGGTAAGGTTTGGTTTGGTAAATAAAAAATGTGAAAAAAGAAGGTTGTACTTAAACTGCCGTTAAACGGTAGCTTACTAAAATGCCGTTAATAGGTATGACGTCGTTGATGTGACGCACTTTATGAAATATAGGAATTTTATAAGGACTAACCAACGCTATCCACCCCTCCAAATAACCAACTTAACCAACGCAACTAACCTCGACACTGATAAAAAATATAAAAAACAAATATAAATTAGTAAAAATCAACCAACTCCACCAAATAACCAACTAACCAATGAATTAACACCCTCCAAATAACCACGCTAACCAACCCGCCAAATAACTAAACCAATCCAACCAAAAAGAGTGAAACCAATGCAATAAGATCACGCTATAAGCAAAAAAAATATAAAAAAGTCTTGGTCGGCGTGAGATTTGAACCACGGACACAGGTGCTCTTGGAAAATGCTTAAAGGTGCGTATTCATTATCCGAACGAACGAACGAACGAACGAACGAACGAACGAATAAAAGTGCGGTATATTTAGACGGGGACCGAACGCATGCGGCCGTTCGTTCGTTCGTTCGCTCGACCATCCATTTCGAGTCGGTACATCAAAGGCGTTCGCCAACAAATGCCTCCGGTCTTCTCGTGCGGTTCTATCGTACGGTCACCGTCCATACCACTAGCGAACATTCGTACGTTCGTTCGTTCGTTCGTTCGTTCGTGCGGATAATGAATACGCACCTTAAGGTTAGGCATTACTTTCCGCCGACATGAACGACGTCACAATATCTATTAACGGCATTTTAGTAGGCTACCGTTTAACGGCTGTTTAAGTACATCGAAAAAAGAATGAACAGTCGCAAGAGTCTTATGGCGCGTTCACACCGGCTTTTAACATGTACCATTGCGATCAAAAGTAGTACAACAAAATATGATTTAATCTGCTGGTTTATTATAAAATATTTTCAAAACTTGAAAAATTGCCGATTTTTAAAAGGTAGGTAAATTTTTTATACTTTTATTTCGCCACGTATACCTACCAATTATTACCAAATTCATGGTAACGCCTAAAAAGTTAGGTGGCATAATTGTATTGTTCGACGATATCCACTTCTCGATATCCTTATAGACCAGGAGTTCTATCTGGGACTACTAATTCTTGTACTACTTTTTTTATCGCAATGGTACCTTTGAAGTGTATTTTTTTAGTGCGCACAAAAGTATATGTTAAGAAATGATTTGCGGGACGCGGCGAAGAGCGTCGCAGCCTGTGTGAACGCACCTTTACATGCTGCGGATCTTGGTATTAGTTTTACGCGAGTCTTGCACTGGTCGGTCTTAATCTTAATCTTGGTCCTGAGATCTCTTAATACAGAGTGAGTCTTAAATAAGTACAAATATTTTCAGGGCTGGTAGACCTCGATAAAAGAACAATATTTTCTTTTTACCGTTTTTCAAAATAACCGAGATAGTTTGCTTTGAATATTTTTAAAAAAGTGATTTTTTGCTTAAATTTTGAGTACCACTAGCTAGATCTTTTCTGGGTTTTCTTTCTTGTAAATGTAATCTAGTACCTATGTTACCACATTATGAAGATATTATGTTTTTAACTATAAAATTTTTTAAAAAACTCCAAATTTTGTGCCAAAAAATTCCAAATTTTATTATCTAACGCTAATCTTAATCTTGGATGTGTTCTTACTTTTTGCGTAAGTTGCATGTTTTAAACTTTTTATTAAAAAAAGCGTTTTAAACATGCTTAAAATATTCTTTATATATATATTTATAAATTTTATATTCAATCAGAAACAGGTTGACATTGATAATGACGAAATTATATTGAAAAACAGATCTCGATTCTAAAAGAAAAAAATAAGATGCATTTATAATTTTACCTAATGTACAGTATGTCCCCGGATTGTCTTTACACTGAAAAAAAAAATTATCTCTCAGTCGAAATGAATATGACTTTGACCCAAAAGATTGGCGCTTTTCAATAGGGTCAAGAACGACGTTTCTTTGCCCAAAGCATTAACTATCTTTTCATAAGCTTTAAAAAATTACTTTAGAGAATAGAAGAATCTATCTGTCCAAAGTATTTCACTCTTGACCCAAAATGAATATGCAAAGAAGTTCTTGCTACAAGAACAATAGTCTCTTTGATTCGTGCAAAAATTCTTGATTGAAAAGGGACATTTCTTGATTAAAGATACACTTTTCTTAAACCAATAGCGAATACTATTGACTCAGCTAAAATTTATTTTGATATAAGAGAAGACTATACATCATATACAGGCATATTAGATACGAGGTATATTATTTTCTGATAAATTTAGGTTATTTCTGCTTCTTCACTCCTTGGTATTTTTTGGGGTGGTTCATCACTCTACAAATAACAAAAAAATGTTACATCACGATTAATCAAAGTAAAGCAAATCAATTATTAAAATTATAAGCTTTGGTCACATTTTGAATTTTTTAATACGACGACTTGAAATTCTAAAACTTTTGTAATTATTTGCATAAAAAAATCGATACCTATATTCTTATTCTATAGTCACGCATGCATTATCTAAATAGGTGCATTAGGTAAATGTCTCTTACCTTCAAATATAGCAAATAAATGCTCTAATTTCCATTTCAGATACTCCTTTAAAGAATCCATATATCCTAAAATTTGTCCATAAAAAATGACAAATGCATGTTAATAACGATCAATAATTTGCTATGCGATATGCGTTTAAAAAGCAAATTATGCAAAATTCCAAGTGAAGTGATTCCAAGCAACAAAACCCGTGCGTACTATGATGTGCGACCTATGAAATGCGACGTACGACTGATTGGACTGCCGACTGATTGCATATACCGTCCTTCGTCATCGTCTTTGCGTGTCATTATTATTTTTCATCAAAAGAGTATTTAGCTATTGGAAAAATGGTCATGTTTCTTGAATGAAGTACTTCCTAGCGTATTTTTCTTATTATGTTAAAACAAAGTAACTTGCACTTGGTTCAATGAAAATAGATTCAAAAGAAATTTTCGAATTTTTCAAGAGAACCAGTTTTCTTGAGTTAATAGAGTTTTTCTTCAGGCAAAATATTTTCTTTTACGCTAAAATAAATTCTCTTACCCCTAAATTTTTTTTTCAAGAACGATGACGACTTTAGTTCAAGTCTATCTTTTTTATCAGTGTACAAGAGGAAACATTCTTTATTACTGGCATTTTCAAAAAAATTTATTCTTCATAAAAATTTTGGCTTGTTCTAAAATTATTGATCCCGTTTATACTTTTCTAAATTTCCATACCGTTTTAGAGAAAATCAGAAAAACATGAAAAACAGTTGAATTTTTTCTTAGGCCTAAAAATCAAAACGCATTTCTATGGTAATAAAATTTCATTTTCATTCTTTGATAGATTGTTATTGATAGAATTATAGAATTTTAATTAACGTCATATTTTTTGTTGTTTTAAAATGAAGAAGAAGCACAAAATTTATTTTGTTCAATGCTAGGGAAAACAGCAAAAAATATGACATAAAAATAATAAAAATTAATAATAACCATATATCAAAGAATGAAATCGGAATTATATTATCTACCATAGAAACGCCTTTAAATTTTAGGACTTCAACTATATTTTCATGTTTTTTTTATTTTCTCTAAAACGGTATGGAAATTTGGAAAAGTATGAACGGGATTAACCATTTTAGAACAAGCAAAATTTCTTAGGAAGAATGCATTTTTCTCAAAATGTCAATAATAAAAAAGTTTTTCCTCTTGTAAAAACAATCCGGGGACATACTGTATAATATACTCACGTTATGATATTATTTTGCTTTTAATCTACCTTTAAAACCATCGATTAAATAACAGATGGTTGACGTAGGTTGCTAAGCAACGCAGACAACTTTGTAATGCCGGATGACAGAAAAATGTAACAAACTACATTGAATGAATACAACTGATATATATATAATGGTAAATCCGAAACAAGATGCCTTACCTAATAAGAAAGATAACCCAGTCAAGAAAAGAAGGTCCACGATTTTCAATAAAGTTACGCATTTATATCTACAAGAGAAGAGTTTAGTTAAGATAGTAAGACAACAAAAAAACATTTTGAACAATAAAATATTTGTTAATCATATTATTATTTATTTTTAGCCTACATTATCATGCAGTCAAGATATCCAGACGTTATATTTGTACGATAATGCCCTAACCACCATCGATAACTTAAATAATCTCACTGGACTTCAAAACCTCTATTTACAAAATAACAAAATCGAGAGAATTGAGAATATGTCTGGCTTAAATCAGTTAAAAAAGCTTTATATTGGCAAGAATAAAATCAGCGTTCTGGAAGGTTTAGAAAGCTTGGAACAATTGGAAGAATTACATATCGAAAAACAAGATATACCAAAAAAGATGCCGTTTTGTTTTGATCCGCGTACAATATTAACACTTGCGGTAGGTAAATTGTCCCATTCCATAAAAGATTCCAATAGAGAGTTCTCCATAATAAATTTAACTAACCAAAAGTAAGACAACAATTTAAAAATTAAAACATAACCTGTGAACATAACCTTTCACAAGTTAGTATTTTGGTCAGCACCAATCCGCTGGTATACTGTGTTTGTATCATATAGATCTCAAAAGTTGTCTCTCAAAGGATGTGTATCTCAAAATGTATTTCAAAACTTAAGATGTCTAATTCTAGGACATACATTCGTATATGAAGCTTTTTCTTAGAGTAAGAAATTCCAAGAATCACCCCCTTAAATGTCACTAAGGAACACCCTGTATGGTGTGGTTTCATAGATAAAAAGTAGATAAACATGTTTTACACCATCTTTTTATCTCCTCAAAAATCCTCAAGGTCTCGACTGCCTAGTTTTGCCTTGGGGGAAAACCGTATCTGTTTGGCTACCTTAAGAGACATTCGCTACTGCAACTTTACAAATTTTCACCCTGTATATAAAAGTATCAATGTGTCAGTAAAATGGTATAATGTATAATAATAATTATAATTATTATTGTTTAATTTAATTTTTTATTTACTATAATATAAATTAATTTAAACAAAATAATTTTATTCTTTGAACCAGGTAATAACAGAAAACAGGTTTTGAGGATTTTTTATTCATTTTCAACAAAAACAGTAGATTTTTTTATATTTTTAAATTCACATTTATTATATATTTTTATATCGAAAATATTTTGCGCGATATTTTTTCTTTTGCCTTAAAATTTTTATTCCAAAAATACCAGAATGCCAGAAATACACCTATAACTTACATAGGTACCGAGTTTTAATTTATTCTTAATCTAAGGTTTTAATATGACCATCTTTAAAAGTTGTAAAATATTTATTTCTATGTATAAAAAATATTAAAAATATATTATTAGAAATACTTAACTTATAATTTAGTATTTTTTATAAATCAGAAGACAAAAAGAAATAAAACCGCAAAGAAATACATTATAGACTGTTCAACGAAGATTTCGGCAGGCGACATACAAAAAATGACAGGACACGATTTGTTTGTGAATTAAAATGACAGACACAACTGCCACTGTTAGGGACCCTTGCCTTGGACAGACTATATATTTTATTACTGTATGATCGAAAAAAAACGGCGCCCAGTTGGCTTGGAAATGAACAAAAATGATATTCCACATTTAATTTTACATATAAAATGATAGTGATCTTCATTTGATAGCCAACTGGTATGTGTACTAATATTATACCACACGATCGAAAAAAACGGCGTCAAAGATGGCTGGGGAATGACAATCGATGATAATTTTGGCGAGGTGAAGATCTAGACGTCATTTACTTGTCTCTCATTTATTTTTTTAATGACTTTTACTAGCAGTTGGCCTTAAGAAAATTTTGTCAGTAATTTATTTTTATATCGAGTAAAAATAATTTTTAAACGAAAAAGTCGAGAAAAAATAGTTTTTTGGAAATAGATTTATGTGTCTGGAAACGTTCTATCCTTTTTTTGGACAAACATCTATCACTGTCAAGGATTTTGTCATTGGATAGACTATACTCATAATTTCTGTAGAAATTTAAAATTACAGTGAATACAAATATAATATTGAATATGGATAATGTTATAGGAGGTGGCAACACTGCAAGTTTTAGATACACCGTAAATAAATTTTAGGTGAATAAACAATAAGTGGCACTAAAAAGTTTTTCAAAAATTTCCGGGAAAATGTCAAAAAAATAAAACATTTTCATTTCTGGGGTCGAAATATATACTACCCAGTTAACTTATTACTTGCACATATTTCTGAGACACCCTGTATAATTGTTGCACCAGATGATTGAGTACATATAAAGCCTAAACTAGAGAGAGTTACATTTTAACATTATAGAAATTAAATAAGTTTGTGCATCTAATGACTTTTATTTGTTGCTTTAGTTGCATTATTTATTTAACTGAATATATTGTTACGGATTCCGTGGGTCCACTAATTTAAACACGGTAAAATACTTAACGAATTTATTTTCTCTCACTCTGTACACACAATTTATACTAATTTACAACACAATTTATGCAACTACTATTACTCTAACGGTACTGGCACCTTCGCCAATTAATTCACAATTTAAAACGCGGTATTATCAAACTTCAAACTGGTCCAACTGCCAAGCGCGGGCCTTTATATACCCCTACTGACTGTTTCTCGAACCTTCTGTAATTTTCGATATTTTTCCACCATCTAGCAGTAAATTCTATTGTCTGATTCGCTTACTTGTCGACTTGATTAAGAGATGGCGCCTAAAAATGTCTTTTACTGGTCTTTTACTATCTTTTACTTTTTGGTGAATTCGCCATATGTTTCTTGACACATTGCGGCAATGTAGGCAACCAGTAATACAGTTTAGCGCCACATACATCTTGACAACATGTTTTTTCTGTTATTTTCTTTAAGATATCTAAAAGCATTAAATATCTTTTTAGGAGACCTTAAGAATCTTAAACATTGCCAGTAATCAGATCGACTCTCTCAAATCACTGTCTCCATTGAGATGTCTGGAAGTGTTGGATGCTTCCAACAACAACATTGAAGATGTCAAAGATATCGTTGAGACTATCAGAACCTGGTATTCTATTAGGGACCTGAAATTTATCGGTAATCCAGTGACGAAGAAGCATCGATATAAGGAAGACATAATTGCAAATGTTCACAGATTAGGTAGGTATAGCAATTTTAAAATCTCAATGATGTAGGATGTAGGTACAGGATGATTCAACGAGAAATTTTACCGGTTGTTTAAGAATTACGAAAATATATTGTAAATACACTAACATGCACGAAAAACGGGCACCATCATGTATTTTAAAGTTTCATATTGTGTTCTAGTGGACCGATTTTGATGGGTTTTTAAGCAATTTGTAGCTAAAATGATTTTTAGTATCTCTTTCTAAATTAAAAATAAAAATCTGTCAATTACATAGATATACGAGGAAAAACAAAATGTTGATATTCTGGTGAAAGTTTGAAACGCCCCGTGGTGTTCGCTTTTAAAGAAGGCACTAACATTTTTCGAATTTTTACAGTAAAACCATGCCTTTGCTCCTAATCAACAGACCTATAAAATATTGTTTATGATTTATGTAATGTTACTGTCTTTGAAAAATCATATTATATTGTCTGTTAGGCAATTACTCTAGCAGATATGGTTTTAAGCATGTTATAAGTCTAAAAGTTGATCTCTGCCATGATCAATTAAAGCAGCAACATCCGATACTTCGATCCCATATAGCACGTCCAAATGAAATTACGTTTCTACAAGGGAGACACATGAGAAACAACATATGTTAAAGTGAACCTAAGTGTTCATCTAGTTCTAACATATACATATGAGATACACGCAGGTTTATATTGATAGAATTGTGTGATACAATGTTTACTAGTTGTATACCGTATGCACTCAAGATTCTAAAGAGTTTTTTGTAACGTAACAAATAATTATTAAAATGATGAAATCTGACGTCGGTATATGAGACATACAATGTATAAGTCATATGTATGTGTGATACTTCGTGTCACAGTTGTGCCTATAGTACACACCTTGTAAAAATGTGACGTATACACATAATATAAATATCTATATAGACACTTTGTAATAGTGTACTGTTGTGTCTACATTCTAACATGAAATGAAGGTGTGCGCATGCGCGGATAGCCTCAGCGTAGACACACCGACCAAGTGTATCTTATGTGTCCCTCTCCTTTCACCTTTCTAGGAGTGGTATGTGTTAGCAGCCATTATTGTTTTATCATTCGGAAGCTCTATATAAATGTTCTGTTTGTGTGTAGTTTAAAAGAGATTTTAAGGTAAGTACAAGTTTTTAATTACCTTGTTACACGTTCCTAATAATATTATTAATGTTATCGCAGCGACTCTTCCCTTACTCGATACCCAATTTACCAAATTTTGACTTCAATGAATGAAAACTCCAAATATTCTCGTATAATGATAAAGAGGTTAGCTGAGTTAGCTCTGCAATATAATTTTTTTTAATTTGGAATAATAAAATCTAAATGAACCAGAGAAAGAAAGATTTAAACACTTCAAAGAACTTCTTACACGATATTCGGTAAGTTATTGATGGATCAATATACAGATATGTTTAATATTCAATAATCAGTTTCATATAAAATTTAAGGGTGAGATTGTTAATCTGGAAATAAAATACAACAAAGTCCAACAAAGTGCTCGATGAATGAGTATGCTAATAAACCAACTGCTTGGAGGGAAAAGAGGAGAAAAAAATTACTAAACGAGGTCCACCAAATTGTGGCGATATACCAGTGTTACGATGAATGAGTATGCTAATAAACCAACTGCTTGGAGGGAAAAGAGGAGAAAAAAATTACTAAACGAGGTCCACCAAATTGTGGCGATATACCAGTGTTTAGCATTTTAGTATGTTGTTATACTAGGTACTTATATATTTTTAATACATTTTGATACAAATTCTGTTCTTTTACAGTGTTTTCTTACTTCTGGTTTCTGTAGTGTAAATAATTATTATTATTGTGTTATTTGCGCTATTGCGTTCCATGATATAAAGAAATATAAGAATTTTATTTTTTAACCACTTAATCCATTTTATGGTAGAAAAATGGTACATTTAATACAAAACAAAAATGGAACAATTTTAAAGCTACTTCTCTTTAACTTACGATCGAGATACTTTTGGAAAATACAAAGTTTTGCATTCCTAATTTTCGTTCTAAAAAGATATAATTGGTATCATTGAATAAATATTTCTTAAAAAGAACGAAAAGTTAGGCATCAAAACTTGTATTATTTCCTAAATTCGTTCATATGAAGTAGTTTTATCTAGCACAAGATGTACATACGAAGCAAAATACATACGTATACACGCCGTAGTCACAACTGCAATGTGTAAACATAGTTTAAACGTAATACACAAGCACTGTGTATCCTACGGCACACTGTGTATCCCTTACTTTGTGTATACGTAAATGCTATACTGTGGCTACATTGTGAGGCGGACGTTTAACCTTTGTGCATACGTGTTGAACTACAATGTGTAAACGTAGCATATTTACATCGGGGGAATTGTGTCACCCTGTGTCTACATCTAATAGTGTAAACACATCGGAAATGTGATTTGATGTGCTGTAGAGTCAGAACATAAAACCATCTTTACTAGAATAAACAAACAATTTACTAGAGTAAACAATAATAATATGACTTTTCAATGACAGTGACATTACAAAAACAATAAATACTATTTTATAAGTGTGTTGATGAGGACCAAAAATCAATGCAAAATAAAATACTAAATCACCACAATACACCAAAACACTTTTACTTTTACACTGGACGCGCGTTTCGCTTACCATGTTAGCATCATATCTGATTACAATCTTTACATGAAATTTCATAAATACCCGACCTTTCTAGTGGAGGTGTTTTATCTTTAGGATTACCTAATAATAATTGTTGTAATTTACTATTAGCACTATACGCAAGTTTATAATTGACATTATTAAAAATTATTTTTAAACCACGGGATAAAACTCTCTATCAAACGGTATTGAAAAATATTTTGACGACGCATCTTCCTCCGCTTCAAAAGTGAAGCAATTTTTTTTCAGCAATCGCAAACTTATGCCTACGTTTTCTAATTATTTTATCCACTGATGAAGAAGCATATCCATTACACTCAGCTACATTTCTAATGTATTTTTTTTCTACTTTATATCTTTCATTGGTAAGTGGAAAACTAAGTAATCTATATTAGTTCTTAATATCTATATTTCTTAGTTTTCCACTTACCAACAAAAGATATGAAAGAGTGCAGATATGATTTAATGTTATTTTGCTGTGTAATACCAAAGGTTCCAACCCCCAACTGTAATACCCAAAATAATTGCTAAAATTGCTGTAAATCGTTACTGTCTTATTCAAAAGCGCATATCTCAAATAAAAATAAAGCTATTGAGATGAATTAAAACACAAATTATCGAGAAAAGACGTACCTAGATGATAATATGATTTTTTTTAATTCCTTGCTTTGTTAACATTATCCAGAGGGTGTTAATAACTTTCACCAAAATATCAACATTTTGTTTTCCCTCGTATACAGACAGATGAAAACTTTTATTTTTAATTTAGAAAGAAATAAAAATAAAAAGTCAAATAATTTAGCTACAAATTGCTTTAAAAATCATGAAAATCGCCCCACTAGAAAAAAAAATAAAAAACTTTAAAATTCATCAATAATTTAACGTTTTTTTCGTATTAAAGAAATTGTAACGTAATGTTAACTCAATGATTATTCAGGTAGGTATACCATATCAATATTTTTGTTTAGAAATTATAGATAACAAGAATATAACAGACACAACACGAAGTTTCCTTAAACGATTCGAAGAGGGAAAAACAATATACGGCTTGAAACCCAACGTTAACTTAGCTGAGATAATGCCAGGTAAAAGCAAATATTCTTAAATAGTTTCCTTGTCCATATTGTCCAGATTTTCTTATGAACAATTCAGTGCTGAAGATATATTGTAAAACCGTTTGTAACTCTTGTTCTAGGACTACCCAAGAATTACTCAGCAACGTTACAGAAAGCTGCATCAGCCTCGATCATTAAGGAGTCCAGATGTAAACTTTTAGATGATATTGCTGCTTTTGATGTTGCTGAACCTGCGTATCTGACTTGGAACATGTGTAAGAATTTTATTAATGAAATTAAAATTTGTCAAACGAGTCGGGGAAGATTTAGGGCAGAAAATGCTAAAAAAATTACAGAAAATACCATACAAACGAGAAAAAAAAACTGCGTCAGAGACTGCTGAGGAATAATAATCGATGATAATTTTGCTTGATAAATAATAATGACGTCTAGAGATTGACCTCGCCAAAATTATCACCGATTATCATTCCCTAGCCGTCTATGACGCTGTTTTTTTAGTAACCTGAAATTTTTTGACGTACAGTCGCCGCCTTGCAATGTTGTCTCTTCCTATAACGTTAGCGAGAGTCTTAATATTTGTTATGTTTTTAATTTCATATAGTAAATAAAACTTTAGCTCCAACACAAAATATGGATATTATAATTTTATTCATATCAGTATAGAATTTTCGATAGAAAATGACACTCTGAAGAGAATGACATATCATAAATATATCAAATTTTGACATTTTCGCATATGGTTTATTTGAAATTGTAACGTGAGGTTCATAACGACAATTTGACTACAAATACCAAGTGTGTAGTATCAAATTATTCGTAAAAAAATGCTTTTTCCAAATATGCTAATGAAACCACCCTCGTTCCATTTGAAAAAATTGAGATATGATTAAAAGTACGATTTGGGCATTTTTTAACCAGCCTGGAGAAGACACTAAACGATTAAATCTGTTTTTCCAAGGCTCCTCGATTAAAAATTAGAGTTTTTAACGTAGCCACTCTAGATTAAAATTTTAAATACGATTTTTTATTAAGCGAGAATGTCAAAAGTTGACATATGATATATCATTCTATTCAGAATGTCATTTTCTATCAAGTAAAGTAAAAAAAAAGTAGTGACAATACCATTTAAAAACCAAAAATTGTAGTCATTTCCGGTGAAACAGGAAGTGATTAAAAACAATTGAATACGTCAATCAATCCTAATTTATGTCATATACTAACATACCAAATCTCGTTTTTTTATCTGAAAAAATAAAAAGTTATAGGGGTGAGCCACTTTTGAGACGCACCCGGTATAATAAATACTACTGGTATTAAGCACTACAATTTTCAGTTCCAAAGAGAAAACAGTTTACTAAACCAAGCCAATCCCAATTAAAAGGACACAAGATGGAAAGCCAGAAAAATATACTTATTAAAAGAAGCAGCTTAACACAAAGAAGAAACACCTAAAAAGAATAAGTAACTTATTTTTTAATCGATACAAATTACACATGTTTTTGTCTGAATCTGAATATTTTGTAGACTTTACCATTATAAAAGAAAAATAATATACATATATTTTTAACACATGTATTTTACAATAATTCTTAATCCTATCTTCTTTTCCTATCATCATCTTTTTTCTTTCTGTCGCGATCTTTGTCTCTCTTATCTCTATCCCTTCCCCTTTCCCGCTCTCTTTCCTTCTCGCGATCTTTTTCCCTCTCTCGTTCTTTATCTCGATCGCGTCTATCTCTCTCTTTGTCTTTCTTATGCCTGTCCTTGTCCCTGCTTCTACTCCTATGCCTCTCGCGAGATTTACTTCTGTCACGTTTACGACTTTTCTTCTCTTTCTCCTTGGGTACCTCTTCAACCTGGTACTTGGCAACATCGAGTTCTTCCATTTCTATATCTTCATCTAAATCTTCTTCTAAGACAGATATTTTAGCTTCAATTTCGTTATTTTCTTCTAGAAGATGTCGACTTTGAATACGAGGTAAAATAACATCACATACCTAATATAAAAGAAATAATGAAACAATGTTTAATTAAAAACAATAATTTATTCTTACCCTTTCTTCTCTTAATAGTTCATCAATAAATTCGTCCATATGAACCAATTCAAATTTGGCATCTCTTCCTTGCCTACGTAATTTTCTATTATCATTGTAGAGTGGTTCCAGATATTTATAACAGTCAAGTGAAGACCCTGTTAGTCTCATATAATATGCTCCCAATGCTCTGACATATTTAAATTCTTCGTTTTTTATGAATTCGACAACGATATCTTTTTCTGGTTGAATTTGTAGCATTTTCAAAGTTAAACACAGAAATGGAGTGGGTTTAATGTTGCCGCCATAAACACCACCGATAAATCTCAATTCCATGGCTTTATCAACTAGGAGTTCTGCAGTGAGTGCAAAGCATTCTTCTTTCCAGTACTTTGAGTCATAAATACGAGATCTAATGATTTTTTCCACCAAATATTGAGGATTTGTTCCATGAATTGATTTCGCATCTTTCACAGTTCGGTTAGCCATTTCTCAACAAATGTACTAAACTAAATCGTATTCTTAAAAAACAGTCATTACCATACGATTATTAATGCATAAAACCACCATTCACACAACTTTAAACCACAAATTAAGCAAAATAATTATAATCACCTTTAAGTTGTTTAAAAATTGAAGTTTGAGGTTGGAATTTTGTTGTTAGTTCTCTGTATGAAGAGTTGCCTAATATAACACAGGCTTGTTAAATAAATGTACATTATAATATTATAATCTATAATGAATCTATTTATAAAAGCCACATGTGTTGTAGTTTGTAAATGTAGATACCTTTCTTAAAAAAACATTAATCTAGTAGTTTTTAGTAGATAAAATCACAAAAATATCTTTTTTTTACTTAGTAATATAACTGGTTGCCTATAGCTTCAAAAACCATAGATAAAAGAGTAATTTAATACCATTGCTCAAAACTAAATTATTAGGAATGAATGAGGTTCTATGAAATTTCGATTATTTTATTAAATAAACAAATCATTATAAAAAAATGCTTGCACTATTTTTCGTATGAACTATTATTTCCACTTCACTGTGGCTTTGCAATATATTTAATAATATATTATTAAATAAACTGTTTAAATAAATTAAAAAATGTTTGTTATATTTATTTTATGATTCTCAAAAAAAAATCGATACTTTGATATCCTGTCTAATCTAGATTGAAATTATTATTCTTCTGTGGATAAAAATAGTAAACTTAAAAACAAAAATGGTTATAGAGATTTTTAATTAACAAAAACAAACATATCCTAAAAATTTAATTATCTAAAGTTACAGGTATATGTGTAAAGTGTTCCCAACTATTATTAAATAATTATTAGTTAAGTTACTAAAAATGGCATCAAATATTGAGGTAGAGCCAGGAGCCACCAAAGAAAGTGTCTTAATTCCTAGCGAATGTTTAGAAAATTTTGATCATATGAGCTCTAGCTTAGAAGAAATTAAAAGCGAGAATAATAGTTCTGTTGGCTCCACTTATGAAGAATCCAATTTTGTAAATAGTAATACGGATAATTTCGAGGATGCCATCGATAAAGAAGAGAATGGAAGTACACCTGAGTATGATTTGGGAAATAGTACGGAGTGGACTTCAAAGAATAAGCATATATTCGTGCTTAGTTCTGCCGGTAAACCAATATATTCCCGGTAAGGTAGATTAATAATTAACAGTACTTGTGTAGTATTTATAATTCTCTTATAGACATGGCAATGAAGATAAACTAGCTTGGTTGTTTGGAGTTATGCAAGCTTTAGTCAGTAATATACAGTCATCCGATGATACCTTGAAAAGTATACATGCTGGTGACACATTATTTGTTTTTATGAATAAGAAACCTTTAATATTAGTAGCTGTTTCAAAGACTGGAGAATGTGTTAATCAGCTTACGTTACAGTTAAAGTTAGTACAATAATTGTTATATTTTTTAAGTAAAGTATGAAAATTGTTGATATTTGTTACAGTTATGTCTTTAACCAAATAACCAGTATGCTAACATTGACCAGGTTAAATAAAATTTACGAACAAAGGCAAAATTATGATCTTCGGAGGCTTTTAGCAGGTGGTGAAAGGTTAATTGATCATCTGTTGGATTTTTCGGAGAAGGAACCGGCATTTTTTCTTGGTGCTGTACAGTGCCTTCCTCTTGCTTCTTCAGTTAGAGATTCAATCAGTTCAGCAATAATAGGTGCCTGTCATAAAATAAAAGTAAGTAATTTAAGATGTATTAATTTAAATTTATTTGAAGAATTAGGGTCAGTTGGGGTAACTGTAAACAGGTCCAATAACTTTTGAATTTGACAGGTAGGGAATAAGTTGATTGTTTCCCACATCTTTGATGTGTGTTGATTTGATTTTATGAGTTTCTAGTATTGTTTATGGCGCAAAAACATTTTGTTGGAGAGCTGCCTCAAAACTTGTAAATAACAGTCTTTAGAATAAAAAAAAATTATCTCTTATTTCCTCCATGGAGACAATTTTTTTTAATCTTGTCTCCATGGGGGACATTGTAAATATTTTTTAAACACACTTATAAATTAAAAGCAAACATGTATAGTTCTTTGGGTTCTGGTACCTTTTAGGTATATCGCCAATCTTGAAGTTATTGATGTAAATTTGATATTAATATGTTCTACAATTAATATTTTAACGTTTTAAGTACGGATCGTCGGCTAAACGTTTGAGATCACTTCAATAAAATTATTTATTTTTTGACCAAATTTGGGGTTAAATATAGTTTTCTCTATTAAGTTTAATAAGAGTGACAAAGAAGACATAGAATTAGTTTATTTGTCTTTTGCTCGCGTCTGCGCATATCGCCTTGTATCGCTGGCGGTAACAATGAAATGTTGAAAATCCGGATTTTGTTTTATTTATACTTTCTTATTAATTTTGAAAAATAGGGGTAGCGATATTAAGTTGATAACAATAGGTATTATATTTTGATCTGTGTTAAAGGTTGAGAAGAGGATCACAATGGTAAAAACGTCGGCCGTAACTGAGTTTTGATTGCATTGGTTTGGTTTGGTTTTTGGGGGGTTTGTTTTTGGTGTTTTTCGTGTTATTTATGGACGATCCGCACTTTTTTTGTTAGAAAATGTCATTATAAGTGTTCCTCTTCTCAATTCTGTATAGAAAATTTTAAAGTTTTGATGTACCTAAAAGGTACCAGATCCGTTCTTTGTTCATTATTAATATCCCCATTTAAAATCGCCTACCTCTTATAGAACACTAAACAATATGGGTAAAGGTGTGGATCCGGTGGCTGACCTTGAAGCCCATATTTGCTGCATTTGATCATCAATACTACGCAAGCGCACATCGTCGATGTTGCCAAATTGCAGTTTATTTTTGAATTATTTGCAGTTGAATTTTTTTTTGCGTGTTAATCAATAAGAATACAAATTCTATAATTAATTTTATAACTTCAGATTTATCTTGATATCCAAAATTAAAGTAATAAGGATAATGAAGATTGTGAAATGAAAGTATTATGAATATATAAAATTGTAATAATAATAACATTTATTTATATATTTACATTAGAGTTAAAATTTATCATTTACGGATTTTTTCTTAATGGTTTTAAACTTATTAGAATTATTTTATTTCTTTCAAGTTATTTAATTTCTAGTTATTTACAGGCAACAATAGTTTTGATTATATATGTATTGATGTTTTGAAGTACTACCATGACGAGTCTTATTATAGAACAATACACGTCAATCGGAGATAGAGGTAACATTTTACCTGTAATGTTACTAATATAATAGGTATACTTTGGTTATAATTAATGTTTGTATCATAATTTCTTTAAAATATTAAGTTAGTAGATTAATAGCAATTTTAGACATATATTTTATCGAAGAGTGTGTTGATAAGACTAAAATAAGCTTTATGTTTTATCTTTTTCTCTTTAGAAGGGAGATGGTTTGTATCGTAGAATACATTACAGTATTTAATATCCTGTCCTTTGATATTCTTTTCTTAATTTACTGTAATTTCTTGTTTCCTATAATGCCAAATCTTGACAATATGGTGAAGGTTGAGTTTTGATCTTATTAGTTTTATAAGAATAATAATAATAATAGAAATACAAGACTAAATTAAGACTTAGTTTGTGATTTATAATAAGATCTTTCTTATAATATTTTTTATGTCTTAATCTTAATACTATATTATGCTTGGTCTGGAAAATAAATGTTAAAATATCTTAATTTTACATATCCTATTCCATCCTTCCATTAGGAAAAATATGGTTTATAAATTATATATGCTAAGAAAATCACATAAATTAGGTGTAAGAATAGAGAAATCTTAATGTAGCAGAAAAATTAATGCAATATATGTATAAGCAGAATTAAACAAGGTAACTGTTAATGTTTGCTGAAGCTGATTCTACAATTTTAATTACGGAGGTTAAAAGGCCTTTTAAGGCCTCCGTGTAGTTTTGATGGAATGCTAAAAAAACTATTATGAACATGACATGGAGCTACAGCATTTAAAAAATTAAAAAAAAAGAAAAAACTTGGACACATTCCTTTTAATTTCCCGAATTTTTAATAAAGCACTTTTTTAAACGTAGCATAATAATCTAGATAGGAATCTAGAGTTTATTTCTATATAATTTTATTGACTATGAAAATACATAATAAGCGTTCACGTGTTGTGCGAAATATTAAAATCATAATTATAAATAATATACCGCGTATTATGATTGAAAAAAAAATAGCGTCAGCGATGACTATGAAATGAAGATCGCTGATATTTTATATGGTAAATGTCCTCAATCGTCATTTCCCAGCCAACTGGACGCCGTTTTTTCGATCATACGGTATATATTGACAAAAAAACACTGAAAAGCACATATTTGTTTTCTACTGAAAATAATTCCAAAATAACTCGCAATCTGGCAACATCGAAGATGTGCGCATGCGTAGTGTCTGTGACTATATGCAGCAAAAACTCGTTTCAAGGTCAGCCATCGGATCCACACCATTACCACAATATGTTTACATTTACCCCAAAATATGACAATATTTGATTTTTATGGGGAAAATGTAAACTAGTTTTGTTTTGGAATCTATCGCCAATATCTAGCTGTCTATGAAAGCATCTATTAAGTAAAGTGTCTTAAAATAGACCCTTTTAGAATTTTCAGTGCAAACATGAAAGTTTCAAAGTTATAGGTACCTTGTTAAAATTATTTTTGTTAAAATTGTTTACCATTACCCCAACTAATCCTATAACAAAATTATTTTGCCCATTTTAAAACATAAACATTCAAAGGATGTTAATAAAAATGCATGATTTATATCCAATCACTGTAGCAGTGTGACCTTGGGGCAAATAAAGTGATGATTATATTAATGAATTACTTTATTAAACTATATTATTAAACTCAAGATATTCTTTAGTTATGAAAATAGTTTTTATGGTGAATAAATAAATAGGCTTAGGGCGAGTTTAGATTTGAACCAAGTTCAAAATTTTAATACTTTGAAAGACTTCTCTTATCGGTGAACTGAGTCACCAATTAGGTATTTGATGATTGACATTAAACCAGCCCTTTTTGATGTTTAAACCGGACTTTTAATCATCTTAAAATCTTATACTAGAAGAAAAATATACCTAAATACAATTTCCGTGTTTAGCGTTTTCCACAGTTTACATAAACTCGAGTTTAAGCTTTGTTTGTACAACTGGGCCTTAATATACTTAATCTAAGCATTTGAGCCACTTCTTAAATTGTGTTTTCTTTACAGAACTTAGTGTTTGCAATACTGTTAGCCAAGAATCGCCTTATCACATTGGTACGTATGAAAAAGTACTACCTCCACCCGTCAGACCTCCACCTAATTTTTAATTTAGTCCAATCGTCAGAGAGTTTGAAATATTCTCAGCATCACTGGACGCCGTTTTGCCTACCTCGTTTCGACGCTAGCGGTTTTCTATATGCGCACGTGTCTTATCTCGCCGACGATTGCCAAGCTTGTTTACTACTCCTAACTGTCGAGCGTGACGTTTGTGACGTATTGAGCGAGGCAAAACAGAAAATAGTGGAAAAGCTGCGCAGAAACAATTGTTTGGAGCCGATAAACGAGTCCATAGCCACTCCGGAAGAGACAGCTGTCAACGCGGGTTTCGCCGAAATCCGTCATTACTTATACAAATGTAAATCGACTGCGCAGTTTTACCAGCCCAGTCTAGCTCCACCGTATAGTAAGGAGAAGATGCGACTTATCGAGATTTATAAGAGATCCAATCAGCAGCTGCATAATACTGCCAGGCCTCTAAAGCTTATTTTTGAGCGGTCGGCAAACGAAGCAATTTTTTCTTGGGATACAACAGCTTTTGAGCTGTACGTTGTGTTTGAGCCTTTAATAGATATAGCGTGTGCAATAGATTTTGTTACAAAGTTGTTAAATTGGGTTAAGAAAAGAGAAGATAAACTGTTCCATTTAAATGCTCCTACTTTTTAATTTAAGATTCTTATAATTCTAATCTTGAAGTATTTGTTACAACAAGATTTATTTTGTGATAATAACTATTGTATGATAAATATACACTCTAAACACTGTACTAGCATTTGAGTTTAAATTTGTTTATAGACGTCATGAAATTATTCTTACTAAAAAATTAATAGAATTGCACTCACTGACTATTGGCAAGCTTGTTTACTACTCTTAACTGTCAATTGTGACGTTTATGACGAATATTGAGCGAGGCAAAACAGAAAATAGTGGAAAAAGCTGCGCAGAAACAATTGTTTGGAGCCGATAAACAAATCCATAGCCACTTCAGAAGAGACAGCTGTCAACGCAGGTTTCGCTGAAATCCGTCACTACTTGTACAAATGTAAATCGATTGCGCAGTTTTACCAACTCAGTCTAGCTCCACCATATAGTAAGGAGAATATGCGACTTATCGAGATTTATAAGAGATCCAATCAGCAGCTGCATAATACTGCCAGGCCTCTAAAGCTTATTTTTGAGCGGTCGGCAAACGAAGCAATTTTTTCTTGGGATACAACAGCTTTTGAGCTGTACGTTGTGTTTGAGCCTTTAATAGATATAGCGTGTGCAATAGATTTTGTTACAAAGTTGTTAAATTGGGTTAAGAAAAGAGAAGATAAACTGTTCCATTTAAATGCTCCTACTTTTTAATTTAAGATTCTTATAATTCTAATCTTGAAGTATTTGTTACAACAAGATTTATTTTGTGATAATAACTATTGTATGATAAATATACACTCTAAACACTGTACTAGCATTTGAGTTTAAATTTGTTTATAGACGTCATGAAATTATTCTTACTAAAAAATTAATAGAATTGCACTCACTGACTATTGGCAAGCTTGTTTACTACTCTTAACTGTCAATTGTGACGTTTATGACGAATATTGAGCGAGGCAAAACAGAAAATAGTGGAAAAGCTGCGCAGAAACAATTGTTTGGAGCCGATAAACAAATCCATAGCCACTTCAGAAGAGACAGCTGTCAACGCAGGTTTCGCTGAAATCCGTCACTACTTGTACAAATGTAAATCGATTGCGCAGTTTTACCAACTCAGTCTAGCTCCACCATATAGTAAGGAGAATATGCGACTTATCGAGATTTATAAGAGATCCAATCAGCAGCTGCATAATACTGCCAGGCCTCTAAAGCGTATTTTTCAGCGGTCAGCAAACGAAGCAATTTTTTCTTGAGATACGACAGCTTTTGAGTTGTACGTTGTATTTGAGCCATAGATTTAAAATAAAATATAGACTACACTATTTACATCTACACGCGGTCAAACAATCATTTTTGTACACATGTTTGCTTCTAGGTACACTCGACCGCAGCCGACCAAACCTTCCTCGTCCAGCCTATGTTTGGTTTGGTCACGCCTTAAATATTATCAATATTGTTTTACTTATTATACACATATATTGAGATGCATTTTAATAAACTATACTGCATTTTAATAAACTAGGTTTTAATATTCCATAGATGTATTAAATAGTCCTTATACTATTTTATTATAAGTCGAATACTATGTAAAAAGGATAAATCCTTTACAATATGGCAACACCGATTAGAAGCGAGGTCGACTATTCATTCTTCTATTATCTTGCAGTACGCGTCGCACGTGTGTAGTAAAGCATTGTTGCCGCTACTTCTCTCTAGCTGAATTATTGCATTTTTTTAGTTTGTAGTCCTTAAATGTTTATTTTATTTACTTTTTGTATTCAAGAACTATAAAATATGGTTCGCCAGTGCCAAATTTGTAAGAAATTTGACTTAAATGATCCATTTGAGTCTCGTAACGACTTTCGACCGGTAGGCAACTCTCATTTTACCAATTGGGAGTCAGTGGCGTTGTTGTAGAAAGGTGCTTATTTAGATAATATTTTAGTAAAATGTAAAATCTGAATTTTTTCTATTACATAATCATTTATATAAAAGTTTTTGTAACAAAATCATAATTATAACCCTGTTATTATACAAGATAAATTATATTAGGGATCGGTTAAAAAATTAATCATGTTTTTATTTAAAATATATTTCATATCATACAAGAATTTTAAAATGATATAACATTATGAAACAAAATTTTTTAATATACCGGGTGCGTCTCAAAAGTCATCCCTATAACTTTCTATTATTTTTTCAGATAAAAAAAAACAGATTTGTATGTTAGTATATGACATAAATTAGGATTGACTGACGCATTCAATTGTTTTTGGCCATTTCCTGTTTCACCAGAAATGACTAAAACTTTTGATTTTTAAATGACACCCTCGGTATATTGCTACTTTATTCGATAGAAAATGACACTCTGAATAGAATGGCATATCATATGTCAACTTTTGACATTGTCGCTTAAAAACAAATCGTATTATAAATTTCAATCCAGGGTGCCACGGCGGTGTTAAAAACACCAAGTTTTAATCAAGGAGCATTGGAAAGATAGTTTTGATCGTCTAATGTTTTTCGTGTCTTGTCTAGGCCGGTTAAAAGATGCACAAATCGTATTTTTAATCATATGTCAATTTTTTTAAATGGAACAAATGGTGACTGATTAGCATATTTCGAAAAAGCATTTTTATATGAATATACTGATCCTTGGTATTTCGGGTCAAATTGTCGTTATGAACCGCGTGTTACAATTTCAATTAAACCTTATGCGAAAATGTCAAAAGTTGACATATGATATGTCATTCTATTCAGAGTGTCATTTTCTATCGAATAAAGTAGAGATATACCTAGGGTGCCATTTAAAAATCAGAAGTTACAGTCATTTCCGGTGAAACAGCAAGTGACCAAAAACAATTGAATGCGTCAATCAATCCTAATTTCTGTCATATACTAACATACCGAATCTTGTTTTTTTATTAGAAAAAATAAAAAAATTATGAGGGTGAGCCACTTTTGGGACGCAGCCGGTATAATAAAGACAGTACTGGGTTAAATAAATGTAGTTTTCATTTTATCCAGTTCCCAAAAGCTTGCTTTAATGAAACAGATCTCTGTTCTCTCTAATTTACATAATAAGACAGCACTTATCAGAAAAAAAAATTACAACAATCATGAAGTTTTTTTTCTCTTTCCATGTCGCCGATTCTATTATAGTATATATACAGGGTGTTTCAAAACAAATGCGAAAAACTTCAGGGGGTGATTCCTTGTTCAAAATAAAGGGTAGTTTGCTTCATAAACGTTGGGTCAAAAGTCAACCATTAGGGAGATATCGCGGTACAAAGATGGCGGAAAAATATCTTGAAAACGAAAAGAGGTAAACTAATGAAATTTTATGGAAGCATTACTGTTATGAAAACACCCTTTCTGGTAATTTTTTCACTTTTTTAAAATGAGTGGAAGGGGTTGAAATAAACTACCCCCATCATTCTTGTTAACGAAATTTAAAGAAAAATCTTATCAAACACATGCAAAAAAAATAATTTGGATAGTTAGTTTGTTTAGAAACTTTTTTATCTCTTGTATTTTTTTGATAAAACTCACCGATTTGAAATTAAAAAATAAAATGTAAAGCATTACATGTCAGGACAAAAAACATTTTCTGATTAAGAATCTAGTGGGCTGCTGTAATTTTTTTAGGAAAAAATCTAGTAGGCCGCTGTTACTTTTTAGGATGTTTCTAATATTATTTTATTTGACATTACTCTACCGCAATACGTTATTATCTAGATGATTATTATTATCGTTATTTTCTTTCTAAGATTCTTAATCTAAAAATCTGTGTAAGTTAATAAATAAAATGTAAAGATTTACATTTTATTTTTTAATTTCAAATCGGTGAGTTTTATCAAAAAAACACAAGAGATAAAAAAGTTTCTAAACAAACTAAACTATCCAAACTAATTTTTTTGCATGTGTTTGATAAGATTTTTCTTTAAATTTCGTTAACAAGAATGATAGGGGTAGTTTATTTCAACCCCTTCCACTCATTTTAAAAAAGTGAAAAATTACCAGAAAGTGTGTTTTCATAACAGTAATGCTTCCATAAAATTTCATTAGTCTATCTCTTTTCGTTTTCAAGATAAAAAATAAAAACATTATTTTTCCGCCATCTTTATACCGCGATATCTCCCTAATGGTTGACTTTTGACCCAACGTTTATGAAGCAAACTACCCTTTATTTTGAACAAGGAATCACCCCCTGAAGTTTTTCACATTTGTTTTGAAACACCCTGTATAGAATAGATCCTGTTTTGATTAATATTAGTGTTGTACATGTTTGACTAAAATTAATAATTAATTTATTAATTTCAAAAATTAAATAGGTAATTTCGATTATTATCATTTTTTCTATAACATGTATTTTATTATTTTTATCGCTTTTGGGCGTCTTTTTTTCTAAACTTTTATTTAAAAAACCTCTCCTAAATCTTAATAAAATATAAAAAAGTTAAATACGATATATTTTTAATTGAATTATAGCTTCATTAAAATAAAAAAAAATACCCGGCTATGGTACGGAGAGTTTAGGTGTACTGAGAAACGAAAGGCAGTGTTGCATTCCTCGTCAGAGTCGTCAGGGAACGACCGTTACGACGGAGACAACCTATCTATCGCTCGTGTCGCACTCGTTAGAGCCTAAAACAATAACAAGACTGACCGCATCTTCCAGCTATTTATGAATGAGATGCTCAGTCTATATTTTATTTTAAGTCTATGATTTGAGCCTTTAATAGATATAGCGTGTGCAATAGATTTTGTTACTAAGTTGTTAAATTGGGTTAAGAAAAGAGAAGATAAACTGTTCCATTTGAATGCTCCTACTTCTTAATTTAACATTCTTATAATTCTAATCTTGAAGTATTTATTGCAACAAGATTTATTTTGTGATAATAACTATTGTATGCTAAATATACACTATAAGCACTGTACCTACTAGCATTTGAGTTTAAATTTGTTTATAGACGTCATGAAATTCTTCTTTGCTATAGATTTTTAATCAGAGATGTTTATGACCCGTATAGAACTGGTTACAAGGCTTGCAAAGGTTAAGAAAGTTAAGTTTTCTATAATACACCAAAAAACTTTAAACATTGTTTTATTTTAACCATCTATTCG